TTATTTATTTATTTATTTATACCCCGCCCCTCTAGACCATGTCTACTCGGGGCGGCTTTGTAAGAACGGCAACAAAATAGACACACAGTTTTCACATACAACTGTGTATACATTTTGTACATTTGTAAACTCTGGAGGAAAATAATGTCATTTTTGAAAAGATAAATTGATTTTCAAGCTTCTATTGAGATCTGCAGCATAAAGAAATCAATCCTTTACAGCTACGCTTTTCATTTGCCAATATTGCACACTTCTTCCAAACTTGTCACAATCTGCAGTGCGTACCTCTGTTCTCAGTGGCTAATGATTGAAACATTGGTTGTCTAAGCTGCTGGAATGTGGCAAAATTATGCTATATTTTATCATTCAGTAAATGGCAGCACTTCATCATTCAATAGAAGACAATAGCTTTTACAGCAGAAACAGTGGGATTGGATTGTTTTTCCGCAGATGCTAAACATCTCATTATTTACTGAAAATTGTTCTGGAGAATAATTTGTTTATAATATGTGTTGCCTTTTAATATGTAGTACAAAGGAACCATTTAGACAACCATGCTTATCTTTTGATTCCATAGCACTGGCAGATGAACCCATGGTCTCAGTGGCAAAACAATGTGCTTGAGGTGACACTGAGTAAAACTTTTGTGCTCTTAGTGGATATTGGCACAGGAGAGAAAAGAGGGTGTCAGGAAGAAAGACGGACCCTTCTTTGTTGAGGATTAATGGTTTTACAGCTGAGACAGAGTTTTGGTGCTGCATAGGGCATGGATCCATTCATTGTTCGCCTTACTGGCACATCCTGCCGATCCCAGATTGGGAGATCCTTTGAGGTGTTAGAAATGAGATCCTAAGATGCTATGAGCTGCTGTGTGACTGCTTCCACACCTAGAGTTGGGCCAGCATTGGCCCCTTAGTTGGGCAGTGGCCTAGGCTATTGTCCCTGAGGTCTGTTAAGGGGAAAGGAGAAACCTACCTACTCTCACAGAATAGGATTGTGCCCAGTGCTTACACATTATAATATCTCACTCATCAGAATTAAAGCATATATTACAGAAAAAGAACTCCAGGCAATTTTACACCTTTTGTGTAAAATCCTTCCTTATTCCTATCAACTGGCAGCTGCCGTGTGTTCAAGGCAATGCCAGAAACCGTGACTTTAGTGAGGGGCAAGGGAGGCAAATGGAATATCCAAATGCTCCAACTCCAGTGCAGCAACCCTTTTCAACTGTCCTGCCTGCACATTATACAGTGGAGTTCTGCTCCTTGAGGTCCAGCCCCATTGGTTCCTTGGAGGGTTTGCTCTTCTTCCAGTATTGTGCACACACATTCAGTGTAAACATGGCTGCCAGCAGAATTCTGTAGCTGATCCTTTATTTTCCTTTCCACACCTGGCAGAGATTCAAACCACAGTCCTCAAGCAAGCAGAAACTGGACACATGCTGATGAGCTCTGTGATGTCCCATTCATATATGTCAGTGTTTCCTGACCTGTGGGTTGTGACACTCAGGGGGTCATGAAGCGTTTTCTGGGGGATTGCAGGTCGCCTTATACATGTTTTAGTGTTTGTTTAATAATTTCTTCCTTGACCTTTCAGAGCAGGATATTAAAGTTAGCATATACGTGTATGTATGTATAAGAAGCAGGCACTCGGAGGGGAGGAGTTGGGAATAAGTCTCTACTTTTTGAGAAGGGATGCCTTTACCCCATTAAAAGTGCCTTTTTATGCAAATGTGGCAGGGGTTGTCACAAGTTGCTTGGCTATTATAAAAGGGGGCCATAACTCGAAAAAGGTTGGGAACCACTGGTATTTGTGAACTATCACCTGATACTGATATCCATGTCTACTGCATCTCGGTTTAACTAAGAATGCAAAAGGTTCATAGTGAGATCTTTGTGATTTCTTCTAGGAAATGGTTGGTTTCTGGAGAAAATTATAGTTAAGGACCCAATAACTAATGTGGATTACCACTTCCTCTGCCACAGGTTTGTGGAGTTTCTAATTTGGAAGGGAAATAATGACCAGCTCATAGTTCCAGTCCATCTGGACTTATCTGTGTGGGTGCTGTTTACCTCTTCTATCTCTGATCCTTGGTTATATGGCTTTTAGTGTTACTGGTTATTTATACTAGAGATGGGGAGAACTCACCATTTTGGCGAGTTGTCCTACTTTGTGATTCATCAAAGTTCACGAAGCACGAAGCTTCCCCCCCCATGAACCGATGAAACACGAATTTATTCATTAATTTGTGGGGGG